CCTTGAGTTTTAGCAAAGTTAATGCATATCAAGGTGAACAACAAATGGACTGATAGTTCATTTGATCAACTCCTTGAGCTCTTGCAATTAGCATTTCCCAAAGGCAACAAGGTTCCCCTTTCACATTATCTAGCCAAGAAGAACTAAAGTCTATTGGCCTGGGGTATGAGTCGATACATGTGTGTAAAAACGATTGTTGTCTCTTTTGGAAAGAACATGATTCATTGCAAGTTTGTCCGTTTGTAAAGAGAGCGATGGATCGATAAAAACACCAAGGGTAAGAAAGTACCTCATAAGGTGTTACGGTACTTTCCTGTGACCCTAGACTACGACGTTTATATTGTTCGAGGCACACTGCCAAAAATATGATTTGGCATAGTACCAGACGTTCAGAAGATGGTGTGATGATTCATCCTGTTGATGGGGAACATTGGCAAGATTTTGATAAAAAAAATACCCCGACTTCTCGAGTGAACCCGTAACGTACGCCTAGGTCTTTCAGCTGACAGTTTCAATCCATTTGGAAACATGTGTAATCCACATAGCACATGGCCGGTCATACTCACCACATACAATCTGTCACCCTGGCTTTGTATGAAAGAGTCATCATTCATGTTGACTTTGTTGATTCCAGGACCGAAGCTCCAGGTAAGGATATGGATGTTTTCCTTAGACCGTTGGTGGAAGAGCTTAAACATTTGTGGAACTCAGGCGTACGTATTAAAGATGCGGCGACAAACACATTCTTCACGATGAGAGCTATGTTGTTGTGGACAATAAACGATTGGCCAGCTGTAGTAGTTTATCGGTTGGAGTGGGCAAGGGTATAGAGCATGCGCTACTTGCAATGAAGACACTCCTTCGTACCGTGCAACAAACAAAGTCGTATACATCGGTCATCGTCGTTTCCTAGATGCTAATTCTAAGAAAGAGGTTGGGACTTTAATGGGATGGAAGAGAGAGAGACCGCTCCGAGACACTTTATGATAATGACATACAAGAGCAACTAGGTCGTCTACTAACTCGTAAACTGGGTAAACATCCTGAGCATGGAGGCGGGGAGCCAAAGCGGCAAGATTATGAGTTGAACTGGTCGAAGCGAAGCATTTTCTTCGAACTAGAGTATTGGTCTTCTCTACAGTTGAAACACAACATAGATGTCATGCATGTCCAAAAATGTGGATGAGAGTTTGTTAGGTACTCTCCTAATGAACGATAAAAGCAAAGACACATCAAATGCACGAGAGGACTTGAGAATTCTAAACATTCGGAGAAATGAATGGTTGCAAAAAAATGGTGACAAGTTTCATAGACCCCAGGCAAGATACTCTTTTCACGAAATCTAGTCGACAACTCTTTTGTCAATTTATAAAAGAGGTTAAGCTGCCGGATGGGTTTGGTTCTAACATTAGTAAGAAAGTGAACGATACCAATACTAACATTATTGGGTTGAAATCGCATGACCACCACATTCTTATTCAACGTTTGATACCGATTGGAGTAAGAGGGTTGTTAGACAAAGAACTTATACACCTATTGTAGACCTTTGTACGTTTTTCAAGCAACTTTGTTCCAGAACATTGAAGGTGGAGGATATGAGGAAAGCAAAAGTAGACATTATTGCAATCTTGTGCAAGTTAGAATTGATTTATCCTCCGGCGTTTTTTGACATTATGGTTTCATTTACTTTTGCATTTACCTGATGAAGCAATTGCTGGAGGCCCGGTTTGTATGAGATGGATGTTTCCATTCGAGAGATATATGAAAAACTAAAAAACTATGTCAGAAACAAGGCGAAGCCAGAAAGGTTCTATAGCTGAGGGTTATGTTGCTGAAGAAGCTTTATCATTTTGTTCAATGTACCTTCGAGATGTAAAGAATCGTCCGGAAAGAAATGTAGATGTTGTCATTGAAAAAACAAAGTTTTGGATGTTTGAGTCTAAATGTCGACCGACCAGCACAACTCAAATCAAAACTCTTAATTTAACGGAAATGCATAACATGGAATGGTTTGTATTGAATAGCTGTGAAGAGTCAGACAGTATATCAAGTAATTAATCTTATCTCTAACTTTCATTCTTAATTTTTTTATTTTATCTTTTTAAAATCTATATCTTTTGGTCATCAACATAGGAAATTCAAATCTGAGCATCCCAAAGTGATGAAAAGAGAGAATTTCGTAATTGGTTTCGTGAAAAGGTAATATAAATTAATAAACAAATTTTTTTCATTGATCTAACGAATACATAATACATATTAATTTATAATTGTTAGGTTCATCAAATGAAAATAGAAAAATCTCCAGAATTCCACGAAGAGTTGTCGGTTCTTGCAATGGGCCCGCAAATGAATGCCTATTCTTACACCGCATGCATAGTCAATGGTGTTAGGTTTATGGTACTTAGTCGTGACACACAACGTACAACACAAAACTCTGGGGTTTTAGCGGTGGGTGAGAAAGGCGAGAAGTATTATGGCCAGTTAGAAGAGATTATAGAGTTGAGGTATACACATGATTATTCAACTGTACTATTTCGTTGCAAGTGGTTTGATACTCGAATAGGAGTTATTTCTAGTGATAGTTTCACCAGTATCGACACACGACGCGAAGCATACAAAGATGATCAACTCATATATGCGTCACAAGCCAAACAAGTGTTCTACATCAGAGAGCCAAACAATAACCATCGGTGTGTTGTCGAGCATGTTAATCATCGAAGTATTTGGGATCTACCATCGAACGATGACCTTGTTCAAAATGTTGACAATGTCTCACACGAAAATGAAGACGATGTCGATGTACTTCAAAATATCTCTTCATCCGATGCTCCACTTTTTATCGATTTCAGCATGTACTTTCAAAACATTCCTAGAGTCATTGTTGATGTAGAAAGTGCATCTGAAGTTCCTCCGCCAACTGGTAGAGTCAATGATGTTTCTGATTGCGATACTGATTACGATGACACCGATTCTGACTATGATACCGAAGAAGACACTGAAGGATATGAGAAAGATTCTGATTAGAATAGTTCTTATGTAATATGTATTTGTAATATGTGTTTGTAATATGAACTGTGTTTATCACCGGCAACGAAAATCGTTATTTAAAAAAAAAAAATTGAAAAACAAATTACCGGCGACACTTTTACCGGCGACAGTTATCATTACCCCGGCGACACTTTTGCCGGCGACACTATTAGCGGCGACATATGTCATTCCGGCGACAAGATTATTAGCGGCGACAATTGTCAGTAGCGGCAACATACTAATAGCGGCGACTATTATCTTTAGCGGCGACAAATTGATCAATAGCGACGAGTCAGTACCGGCGACGCGTCCGCTATTATCAGTACCGGCGACATTTGGGACTTTTACCGGCGACTTTTGTCGCCGGTAATGGCCTTTTTCCTTGTGGTGCTAAAAGTCATGCATTAACCCGTATTTGTAATATGTGCATTAACCCGTATTTGTAATATGTGACTAAATAGGTATTATTATTTTATAAGTATTGAAATCTTATCTATTTTGTTTCTATTTATATAAAGTTTTAAGCCTTTGTTTTTTTATTTGTATTGTATAACCCCCAACCTTTTCAATATATTTACTTAATTAATTAACTATAAATTAATAAAAATATATACATAGATTATTTTTAATAAACTACATCACTAGAAAATATAATAACAATAATTTAGCTGAATTTATACCAAATTGGCCGGAGTGAAACTTGGTGTATCCAGTTCGTTCTAGAATTTAAGGAAAAAAGGTATTCGTTCTCGTTACTAATTCGAGAGTTTTTCAAAAACAAAAACCATATCTCAGATTAGTAACGTCGTTCGAAACTGGTATTGAATCAGCCTCTTTTTTGAAAAAAAAAAAAAAAAAAAAATCATTTCCACCAACGCATCCCACCCCGCTAATTAAGTAGTAATTACTGTTGTAGAGAATAAGGGTTACCTGGGTGGGTGGTTCACGGCATAGGGTTGATGCTCGATGTGGAGGGTGTAGGAATCTTACATTAAGCAAAGTTAAAAAGCCATCAATATTGGATTTTGGAATACTCAGAGTCATAAATGAAATCAGAAACTTACTGTTGTGGAGGAATTAGATGATGCCAGATATTTTGAGATGCAATGAGACATGAATTGTTCACAAGCTAAGATTCCTTCTAAAGTCACAAGCCTAGAGGCTAGACGAACATGTTGTGCTTCTATTTCTTCAAGCTGTCGAGAGTAGCGTGCTTCGACCTCTGTCCTCTCTCTCTTAGGCATATCTTCCAGTAATGATCTTATTAGGGTTCCCTTTGAAATGATTGCTTTAACTTCTGCTTCTTCTTCATTAACCAAATCCCGCACCTCTTCCACACAGATCTTAAACTCTGCCATAAGTCTCTCAGTCTGGTTATGCATCTTCCCTACTTGAGCTTTTGATTGTGCCATGAGCTTCTCAAGGGTAACATTAACCTTTTCCTTTGCTTGTGTTCGCTCAACATTCATATTATCATGATCTAACAATGCCTGGAATTCTGTCATATGGATTGCAATCTCTGCAGCGCGTTTAGCCTTTTTTGCCCTAGCTTCTTTCTGCTTCATTGCTTTTGTAGGTGGAGGCTACAGAGTTTACAAGAATTTTTAATTTAAGAGAAAACGGTTGCAATGAGTATATGATTCTGTAAAAGTACCTCGGGTAATTCCATGATGAATGTGGCATTTGGAGAGTTCTCAAGAAAGAAGTTTCTAGCTTCGGTAGACATTTTTACATTGTATGCATCATTCCTCGTGCTAGAGTCTATAGTCAAGCAGATTAAGCTGCTAAAAGGTGATGGATGGTGTGATAATAAATTTGGATAAGAGGAAAGACACTGCAAAAAAAAAAATTGACAACAAATTTATACATTAAAGATGCATTAAAATCTCATCTTGAACTTCATTTATATCATACACCCATTTGACAGCAGCACTGAATGTCATAAATGGGGTGACATGATCGATATCAACATACCTCAATAAAGTCCACATTAAGTGTGAGATATCTGGCACTGTGGAGCTCTTGAAGCATTTTAATAGCCTTGCGTGCCACTTTCTCCTTATATTGCCTATACATATCACAACAGATAGACACTTTGTTCAGAGAATGAAATCCATCTTTGGAGAATTGTTGAGGAAGATCACCCGTGTAGCACAAAGATGAAAGCCCTGGTGGAGCATTCAAGTAATCGATTGAACAATCAATTATTGTGAGATGTTCAAGTTGAGGTGCAACCAGGTTGATGACCAATGAGCGTCTGCCTTTGATAAGCACGAGATTAGAAAGTCGAGGGGTAATGATGTCAATAGCCTCGACAGTGAACCACTCCAAAGTGAGGTTCTTTAAGTTTACACATTTGGAGAAAAGATCAACAGACTTCTCGGTGTGATCATCACACAATGTGATGTGGCTAAGATGCAAAGTTGCTAAAGCTGGAAAATCCCAAGGTGTTTTGGGTGTAAGGCAAGGTGAAGTATAAAGAGGGCGGTTACTCAATGTGAAATGCTTAAGAGTCTGAGAGCTAAAAAGGGAAGGAGGGAATTCATGGTGTTTTTTGGGAAAACAAACAACAGTTAGTTGTTGGACATTGTGAGAGAACATATAACTTGCAATTTTTCTCACGAAAACCTGACTAGCTGCTCCATTGAAATGTAGCTTTACAGAAGACACTTCTACTTGATGGTTGCGGTGAGTCAAAACATGATTCACAAATTTGGCAAACTTTGGTAAACAGCTAAACTCCCTACTTGACAAGTTAAGACAAGGCATTGATGTCCAGAGAAACTCCCATCTTGATGACAACGAACATGTTTGAACAGCATATTTCATGTCAAAACAGGAAAGGATCTTATGAATAAGCTCATCTGGCAAGCTGCTCAATCTGTCTTCTTCCACCACTCGCCTCCTAACATGATCATGATCATGATCAAACTCCATTCTCTGTTGTTATACCTCGTTCAGATATGCAGTCAGGCACATAGATACAATATATCCTAGTTAATTTTCCCTTGATTCCGAACACAATTTAGAATCCATATCCATTCTCATTGATGCTTCTTTTCTGCTTTTAGCTAGATAACCATCATTCCTTCTCTTTTGGCTCCACAAATCACAATCCCATATCAACTGCACTTTATAATGTAAAATTAAATCAATTACTTAGATAATAGCTTATAAGAATACCTCTGATATATATACATGTTGGATCCTAATGCAACTAAATATGGAAAGGAACATGGCGGTAATAATGCATCAGGTAGTGCTGCTTATAGGGCTGGTCTTATCATCTTACGGCCTCTGGCAGAGGGGTCTCTTGAACAAATTCTATTTCCTAACATGGATTCCTCAAATCACATCTTGACTACTTTTCCACTTCAATTGTAAATGTATCAAGGTTGTTTGAAAATATGTGCTACACATCCATTTAAGTCCACGTTTTTCTTTTTGGAAACTTCGCAAAATAAATGAGCATCTTTAGTGAAGGGGTAATTTAGGTATCTCACAATATTTACATTGTTACGGTGTATTTATAAGGCGTACGGGTAGGGGGGAGAGAGAGAGAGAGAGAGAGAGAGAGAGAGAGAGAGAGTAATCTTATTTTCATATATGGTATTTTATCTAGGGAGAAACTAGCCCCTCGAACTAGCTATGGTTCTCTTTTTCAAAGCTTTTAATTTTGAATTGCAATTTGACATTACAATCACTTATTCTCTGAATCTCTGTTCTTAATTCTCTTTCAATTTTTGAGTTCGTAGCAGTATGATAACTCTTTTAGCTAGCTGTATGTGGATGACTGTTATCTTGACCAAGACATGGTTTATTGGAATTATGTATCCAAAAAAGTGATAGACATAATAATACATCATAACCAATCTTCCTTTTTTTTTTTTTTTTTTAAAAAAAACTAACTGGGAACCGAATTTTTGCACTTGTAATAAAAGTGGATACACCAAAAGATGTTATTAACCTTTAACACCATAAGAAGAGATATAAAAATGTATTTCTCAAATGCAAAACTAAATAAAAAAGTGACATACGAATGATCAGATGATAGAGAAAAAAATCCCCAATTCCATCTTATTAGGCTAATTGTCGGATACCCATATCATCAGTATAGCCTAAAAACAAAATAATAAAAACAATGTCAAATGTGGTATTTAAGCAACTTCAAAACTTGATAAGAATTATTTTGATTAAAGATTTAAAGAAAAAAAAAAGATGTGTACATTAAACAGCAAATAGCTATCACCATGAAGATTAAAAGTTAAAATCTCAAACATCCGTGTAAATATTAGAATTTGAAGCGTAGAAGGTCTGAATTTGAAATGAAAATGGTATTGGTCTGGCATTTTTGTAAGTACTGCAGCATCGATATAGATTTGAACTACTCCAGAAATCGATCGGTCAAATTAACATAATTTCGCTAATACAACAGACAAAAAGCAGAAGGAGATACATCTTCTCCTAATAACACGGTCGCCTGCTTATTTAATACCCTTTTGAATTATCAATTCCAATCAACTGATGCAAAGAATTTCAAAAGTAAAAGCATCCAGAAATGTGAAATTCGAATGCCCTAATATCTATGGTTTGAGAATGACATACCTCTTAATCGAAGAAATTACAATCTACGAGTTGCCTAAACCCTAACACCAGAAACCACCTTTTATATACGTTCGTGCATTACAGCAATATCGATTTTTGTGCAAATTATAATTTGACAAAATTGCAAAAATGGTCCCTGTGGTATGCATTTTTTTGGGGTTTTAGTCCAAACCTCGACTTTTTTTGTTTCGTGGTCCTTTTGACCATGTTTGCTTGTGATTTTGGTCCCTTGGAAAACTAAAAAGACTAAAATGCCCTTTGTGATATATTTTTTATGTTCTTCCATTTTAATTTAAAAGAAAAAGAAAATAATTAATTAATTGGGCCCACATCTCTCTCTCTCTCTCTCTCTCTCTCTCTCTCTCTCTCTCTCTCTCTCTCTCTCTCTCTCTCTCTCTCTCTCTCTCCTGATCGTCTTCTTCATCAACACACACTGAGATTAAAAGACACACATTGAGGTAGCGACCGATGATTCCTCAAACTCCGATGCATCCTACTTCTCCGGCAACAGTCAGGCCACAAACTCTTCAGGTGCGAGTCGAAAAGGTAGGTGGGTGGTGTTCTATGGTGGTTTGAGGTTCCATATGCTCTCGCTACCCCAATACAAACAACATCGACCCTCTCCAGCCTCCTCTATCGCTGCCATCTCCTATGTGGTTGTTTCTTATGTTCTCGTTATGCCATCTAATCTGTCATTGTTTGTGGTTACCAATCTAGTTTCCCCCTTCATTTTGGTGCCCCCAACTGCAGATGAAAACTCTGATCTGGTTATGACATGGTTTCTCCATCATTGAATCATCAGCCAACATAGGTTATATGAGGAAGAGGGTATAGGGATTTCGGTGAAGCAAGAACAAAACACACATACATACACCCACTGTCTTCTCCAAACAATCCCAATCTTCTAAATCATGAGTCTCCTTCATCGACTTCTTAAAATCCCCATAAGGATTCTCAAATTCCAAGTATCAAACTTGTAAGATCAAGTTTAAAAACAACCGTGCAGGCTTACCTCACATACAACCTGGAAGATTCTGATGAATTCATGAAGGATTTTGGTGAGGCTATTGTTGACAATTCTGGTGACTCCAAGGATTATTGAAACGATATGGTATTTGGGCCTCATCGAGCGTTTTCTGAGTAAGGTAATCGATTAGTAATTGCTCCGGCCCACCTCATTCATCGATCGATTCATCTTGTAAATCAGAGTCATCCTAAGGAATTTTTCTCTGTTATCGGTGTTATCAGTAAGGGGAAATGGCACCAGGGGAAGAAGATGAGGGAGCGGTGAGTAGTCAGGTTTGGAGAGAGAGAGAGAGAGATATGTGGGCCCAAGTTAATTATTTATTTTCTTTTTTATTTAAATTAAATAAAAAAACATAAAAAATATATCAGAAAGGGCATTATAGTCATTTTAATTTTACGAGGGACCAAATTTACGTACAAACATGGTCAAAAGGACCACAAATCCAAAAAAGTTGGGGTTTGGACTAAAACCCCAAAAAAATGCATACCACAGGGACCATTTTTGCAGTTTTGTCTTATAATTTTTGAGTAAATTACATAAATTGCTCATGTGGTTTGCGGTTATTTGCAGCTTTCATTCCTACTAATTCTTTTTCACTAAAACAGTCCTTTAATTTTTATAACTTTTTTTTTGTTTGGTTATTGTCCTCCACAAACATAAAACATACCCTTATATTATATTTTTTCAACCTTTTCTATTATTTTCTTATAATTTATATACACTTTAATAAAAATATCCCCCCTCCCCCATCCCACTAACCAATTTCTACCTTCTTCATCAAGATGTCGCGTCCTTGGTGTTTCGTCCATCTTCATGTAAACAAAACGCATAACAGAAGATGAGATAGACATCGTCACCACATTTTCTATAGCAACTTTCGAAACCATATGGTTCATATAAAACTTGTTGACTATTATCTCTATTTCCACCATCCATATCTTCATGCTTCTCGTGTAAACAATCTCTTACTCACCGACACACTATCATACATATGAATATAATTTGAAATACTAAAAGTCAATATGGACATAGAAGATACGATGTGTCAATCAACTCATCAAGAGCAAAACTTAAAAGGTGAATTAATTGATTTTAGCTCTCGTTTATTTCAATAACACCCTTGAGATTTTAGACCTCTAGGTTATCCACACTAAATCACATTTAATACTCACATATTCCATTACATATATGTTAATGCAATATTAATAACTAATTATCTCGTATTTTCGCTTATCATTAAAATATGCAATTGGTTTATAGGGTTCTAACGGTATAGTGCCAATAATATTCACCAATTTTGGGAGAAATATTTTTTCCTGGTTTTTTATAATGCTTTTATTTCATATGTATATACTTTGATTTTTTTGTAATTATATGTTATATATTACTATATTTTATGTTATGTATTTTTAGTACTTTGAAAAATCAATGGCTAACATATTTGATATGTGCATATTTAGTGTGTATTAAGTGTAGTTTATTATTCATATATTAGCTAAATTGTTGCATATTATGGACAAAAGGTACTTAAAAGTGTTAAATTGTGTTTTTCAGTCCAAAGATGAAGCTCGGAAGCGAAAGGAAGCAAGAGAAGCGGTTAAGAGCTCAAGAGTGGAAAGAAGAAAGAAAACAACCAAAATAAGGCTTCTACTCGTCGAGTTATCTCTTGACTCGACGAGTCCGGTCGCGGATTCAGAAAGATAAACATTCGGAAGTCAAGACAGTTATCAGGTTACGACTAATGTGAGAGGGACTCGGCGAGTCGCCATATGACTCGACGAGTCGGTTTGCATATATAAAGATAACTCTTTAATGCGAAAAGGGGAGAATTCTGAGAAGTTTGAGAGGTGTTAAGCTGCGAATAAGAAGCCAGAAGAACCCTAGAAGTCGACCAAAGAAGCTAGAATCCAATTCCGGGAGTAATTGAGGCGTAATTTCATCATTCTACTTAATTCTTTTGTTTTGTCAATATGATTAAGCAACTTGAACTTATTTGTTTGCTGTTATTCACCTTAGTTATGAACTAATTTCTTTATACTTCTGTTTGGGGATACAAAGTTGACAATATGGTTTGATTGATTGGTAGGATTAATTCTAAGTTGGTGATTAATTGTTATTTTAGCTTGCTAAAGAACCTTGTGTATGAATGATAATTTATTTTCTGTTAATAGGAAGATAGTTAATTAGCATGAACATCTATTAATTATCAACCTCATATGATAAGTGACCACTAAATCATATGTCTAGGATTAATGAATATGAAACTAGGATTAATAAGTAAATTGAGTAAATTCATGTGCAAGCTTGTAAGATGACTATTGAACAAGAGGTTAATTAAAATAACAATTTAATTAGCTATTGCAAGTCTAACTTAACCCGAATAATTAATCTAGTAAATATAATTAAGTTAAGCAATTGGCCACTGTTTGAATTAGTTTATTTGCTAAGGATTAGGGTAGTGAACACAACTTAATCACTTGAATCGGTAACCAACGAAAGAATTAATCCATTGCACTATTACCTTAAAAGCAACCATAAAGTTAACCGAGTTGAACTAAACAGAAGTTTCTTTCCCATTATTGAATCTAGTTAATTTGTTCTTTTCTAGCCTTGCATTAGTTTTGTTTAGTAAGTTTCTAGTCTTGTAAAACTAGAGAAAAACCCTTATTTGCTAAAGTAATTTAGATAGAATTAGTTTTTAATTTAATTTGCCGTTCCCTGTGTTCGATACCCTGCTTATTTAGCTATACCACAATTGATAGGTTCACTGCCTTTTGTGTGTTATTTGATAATTAAAGTAGGATTAAAACTAAGTGAGTTTTACACACATCAAGTTTTTGGCGCCGTTGCCGGGGAACGGTTCTAAAATTAGCATTAAATTCTAATTCAATCGACCCTTTGTGTAAGATTCATCTTACGCAAAGTTAATTTCTGTTCAATTTTTGTTTAAGTTTAAAAAAAAAAAAAAAAAAAAAAAAAAAAAAACTGATTTTCACGTGAACTCGCCGAGTGCATTCGCCCCGACTCGGCGAGTCTGACGCTGAATCAGATTAAATTTTTGTTCTTTTTACGCGTTCTGTTTTGTTTTAAGTTGCAGTTAGTTCATGACCCGAGGATCTTCTACACCTCTAATTCCTCCTCTTGAAGATCCGGAAACCGCATTAAGAAGAAACAAGGGCAAAACCGTTGGAGAAACCACTTCTTCAAAGAACTCACCACTCAAAAACTTCAAATCCGTGTTTGGCAAGAAGAGGAGCAGCAAAGCAGGAGCATCCAGTGCGTCGTTGTCAACCGAAGATCCGATCCCGAAAGACACCGAATACGAGACCGAAGAAGAAAGCGAGCACACATCCGATATTGAAGAAGACTTAGCCACCGCAATGGCTAATATTGACGAGATCCCCATGGGGGAGTGGAAGAAAAGGATGCGTGATGACACCGGCCCGGGACTTGTGCAACCCGCAATCCCCGCTACCGCTACGTTCGAACTAAAGGGCCATATTCTCGCTCAACTCAAGGAGATACCATTTCACGGGAGAGATCATGAAGACGCCTATAAGCACTTAGATGAAGTAAATGACGTGGCGGATTACTTCAATGTACCTAATGTGCCCCGCGAGGTCCAGCTACTACGCATGCTTCCTGTCACGTTCAAAGGAGCTGCAAAGGATTGGTTGAAGTCACTCCCTCCCGGATCAGTTACTACATGGGCAAAATGAAAGAAGAGTTCATAGATCACTTCTGCCCACCTTCCAAATAGCCAAGCTAAAGAAAGCCATTGCCAACTTCGAGCAACAACCCGGCGAATCCCTATATGAAGCTTGGGAAAGATACAAGAGCCTACTTCGAAATTGCCCCCACCACGATCTCAATAGCCAACAAGAGGTCTCTATCTTTTATGATGGAGTGAATGTCACCACGAGGCAACTACTCGATTCACAAGGCCCACTCACTCGAAAGACACCTCGAGAAATAAAGGAGTTAATTGAAGAATTCTCTAGGCACTCTAGAGAATACCACAACCCGAGGAATGAAGTGAGTCGCGGAGCAGTAAATTCGGTAAACGATGGTATGGCGGCGGTGATAGCGAAACTCGATAGCCTAGACCGAAGAATGACGAAAATGGATCAAACGAT